TAGCGAAAGCTCTCCGAGGATCGATCGTGCACAAGTCGCTGGGTGCCCAAAAATCAGAACATGAAGACCTTGCTGTATTGTTTAGCGCTGAAGGGTGCTCATCTGAGCTTCAAAGTCAATCCACGACTCTGATGTTGTCAAGAATTGCTGACCCATACATCTACCTTTCGCTTGCATCAGAGGAAGATGGCAACGAATGCCGACATGATTGGAAGCTCGCTGGGTCTTGTAGGAAACTTCGTTATGACATGAAAGAAGACCCTGTCAGCTTGGCACACACAGCAGACAGGCTTATCGCGGACGAAGTCAGATACATCCAGCAACTTGTGGATAGTGTCAAAGTACCAAAGCCGGAATCCGATCAGAGCCTCGTATCGAATAAACCTACTCGTGACACCTTCCATGCGGCAATGTTCTTAGAAGACTATCGGTTTACCTTTAGCCTTCTGCCATCTTTGACCTACCTTGTGTCAGGCGAGGTAGCTCGCATGTCAGTGATGCCCGCAGAAGCACCCAAAATCGAGGTTGACTTTGATGTGAAGAAGAACTCGCACATGTTCGTATCGGGCGAAGGCGACAGATTCAATGTTTTGTCAATGCTGGAAATACCTCCCGTAAACGGGCGAATCCTTGCCAGCCTCTCGTCGGAACGCAAGCAAGTGGAGGTTGATGTCACGATTGAACTCATTCGCCTAGAAACAAGTGCTGTGCGCAGTCTTCTGGCCGTTTTGACAGGACCTGATGTTTCCCATTTGATTTGTGACCTCAAGCAGAATTTAGATGTTCTCCAGTCACACTTGAAAGACGTGCTGTCGTTACAGAGGGAGTCCCCAAAGCCCAAACCAGCATCTGGTACCCAGCAGATCCTCTACAAATCCCGTCTCACAATGGCTGGATTCGAAATCCATGCCATTGCGCCTGGTCTCAATAGCAAAGATTACTCTGCAGAGATGATATTCAGCCTTGGAATGATGCGTATGCGACTTGAAAACGGGCTAGACCGAGGATACCCCATGGAGCATCCCGAGTTCAACATCGATGCCTCTCAAATCAGATTTGAGCTGCTAAGACAAGAAGAAGCTAGCAGTCAATCATATGGCGGCTTCTCTGCTGGGGTCAAGCTTCAGGGAACCTCTGCGGTCCGCGATAATGGGGAGATCACGAGAGCATACCATTTCACTAGCGACAGGTTCGATGTCGAACTATTCGCTGAGACAGCAGCCCTCGTGGTCGACATTGCCGTCTATACACAAGAGCGCATCAAGACTCTAGACCTTTCCCATGAAGTCAAGCGTCTTAGGAAATTGAGGCATGGCAGCCACATCGATACAAATGACGGAGCCCCCACTGCCCCTGAAATCCATGTCAACGATGATTCCACCCCGGAAACATTCCTTAATGCTCTTTACTCTTTACAATTCCGGTCTATTCAAGTCGCTTGGAACATGGCCACGATGCACAACAAGTCTGGTCGACAGCCTGAGGACTTGGTCTTTTCAATCCAGCAAGTTGAACTGTCCAACAAGAAGAAGAACGCAGCCAAACTTCGAATTGAAAACATGCAACTTCAGATGGTACCATTCGGAGCGGACAGAGGAAAGCGCTCGCTCAATTCAGCCCTTATGCCAGAGTTGGTCTTCAACGTTGCGTATTCCTCCAAAGGAAAGGAAGTTTCGCTTGTTTTCCAAGCAGCTGGCAAATCTCTCGACATGCGTGCCACGTCGGAGTTTATCATACCGGCCAGCATGATACAAGACTCAATTGCTACGGCAAGCGAGGCGCTTCGTGAAGGCAAGGCTGTTTGGGCAACTAGAGCAGACTCTCCCGAAAACACCAACATCAGCAAAGGTAGCAACCTTTTTGGTAACAGACGATTGCGGTCGCTCCTTGTCGATGTTGACTTTGCGGGTGCTACTGTCACACTTCAAGGAAAACTTGGCCATGATCACCAGACATTGTTAGCGGCCTCATGGAAAGGTAGCCGACTCTCCGACGCAAAATATGGCCAATATGTACAAGGCGATGCAGCGACTACAGCAACCCTCCGAGCACCGGGAGTGGCGTTCAAACTCCAATTCGAGGACAATGGTACCGATGATCCAGCACTGAATGCGGAGCTGAAGGTCGACCCCTCGACGAATACATTGTATCCAACCCTTGTTCCTCTCGTCAAGCAAATGACCGCCACAGTCAAGGAGATCATGGGCAACCAGCAGGGCCAGCCTCGAAGGCCATCTGCCGCAGCGAAGTTACAGTCACAGAAACTGATGCAGGAGAAGCCATTTGGTGCCGTCGATCCGACCAGCATTCTTGGTCGGTGCAAGGTAAACCTGGGACTGCTGTTTTGCAAACAGGAGTTTAGCTTGAGCTGCCAGCCTATTGCAAGAGTCGCAGCTACTGCAAGGTTTGAGAGTGTCTACGTGACTGTCAACACAGTCCTATCGGAAGAGCAGGGCCGGTTCCTTGCTCTCTCTTTGGCTTTCAATAACTTGGAAGCATCTGTAAAGCATGTGTACTCCAATGAATCAACCGCAAGCTTCGAGGTCAAGTCTATGGTGTTGTCCATGATGAATAGCAAGCACCTTGGCCGAATGAACGGTATGTCAGCTATTTTGCGCGTCAGTCCAATGAAGGTCGCAGTGAATGCCAAGCAAGTTCAAGACTCCTTGCTCTTCAAGGAGATCTGGCTTCCATCCGACAATGAAACTAGCTCGAGTGGGCCTGTCCAGCCAGAACCGTCTGAAGCGCAAACCTATATTGTGCAGCGATACCAACAAGTTGCGTCAGCGTCCGCATTCCCCTGGAACACTACCATCGCGATTGAGAAGCTCGAGATTCAGCTCGACTTGGGCTCGACACTAGGCAAGGCACAATTTGCGATTGTTGATCTGTGGGTGTCTACCAGCAAGACATCCGACAATGAGCAGAACATGTGTATCAATTTCGGCTCAATTGCGATCGAGAGTAAGGGTCGCATGAGTGGGATTGTCGAACTTGGAAAGCTGAAAATTCATACCTCCATCGAATGGCCCGACTCCCCTGGGACGGGACGCACACCGTTGATTCAAGCCACGATTGCTTTTCATCACCTCCAAGCTAAGGTATCATTCGACTACCAACCTTTCTTGGTTGCACAGATTGCCATGTTCAATTTCTTGATGTATAATGTTCGAAACACGTCCGGGGCGCAGAGCCAGCGCCTTTTCAGTATCCTGGAAGGCGACAAAGTCCAGCTATTCTGCACATCTCTGACAGCATCACAAACATTGGCGCTATTCCAGGCGTGGCAGCGCTTGATCCAAGATGTCCAAGCAGCCTACAAAGCATCACTACTCGAGGTAGAGCGGTACCTTCGTCGCAAGTCTTCTATCCTCACCGAGCACCTCGAAGTCAGCGCCAAGGATCTAGTAAAGAAAGACGACGACCAATCCGAAAAAGCACCCATCTCTCTGCACACCGGAGTCGTCGTGAAGATCCGCCACGTCAACCTGGGAGCATTCCCCAGCTCATTCTTCGACAACCAGATCTTCAAGGTAGAAGCCTACGACGCCGAGGCCCGATTCGCCGTCTCGCTCGAAGCCAACAAAATCCACAGTGCCCTAGGCCTAACACTGGGCCAACTTCGCGTTGCGCTATCCAGCATCACGCGACCCACATCCGCCCAACTCGACGAAATCTCAGTGGACGAGATCGCCGAGCGAGCCGCAGCATCTCGCGGCGGAACAATCCTCAAAGTGCCCCGACTAGTCGCAAGCATGGAAACCTGGCAGGTTCCAGGAACCCACCAGATCGACTACATATTCTGCAGCACGTTTGAGGGCAAAGTCGATGTCGGCTGGAACTACTCGCGCATCAGCTTCATCCGCGATATGTGGGAGACGCACTCGCGTGCGCTTGCGTCGCGACTTGGCAAGCCCTTGCCACCTTCTGCGGTGCGCATCACCGGTGGGCCAGGAAGCGGTGGTGAAGGGGGTGGTGCTAGCTCTGAGCAGCAGGAGAAGATTACTGCGGTTGTCAATGTCCCCCTCTCCAAGTATACCTATACTGCGCTTGAGCCGCCAGTTATTGAGACGCCGCAGCTCCGGGATATGGGTGAGGCTACGCCACCGTTGGAGTGGATTGGGCTGCAGCGTGATAAGCTGCCTAATGTGACGCACCAAATTATTATTGTCACACTGTTGGAGATTGCTAAGGAGGTGGAGGATGCCTATGGCAAGATTCTGGGGTCATGATCTTTTTTTGGAGGTGCTCCTTTTGAATGGAGTTGATTCGTGTGGACACTTCTCATCGTTTGTTACTTTCACTTTATTGCCTGATACCATTGTTATTCTTGTACATTACATCACACCATTAATTATAGACATACTATGTACAAGTAGCTAGGGCCGACCCTTCGGGACGGCCTCGTACTAAAAAGAAAACATTAGAGAGTTAGCCAGTATATTATATTAAGACTAAATATTAAAGAAAAAGCGAGAGGCCCTCCGTTCCCTACGCTCCTATAGAGTAGATTGCTAGCGGCGCTTTATAGGCCAACGCGGTAGGTAGACGGCTGGCAGAAAGAAAAGCGGTATAAAAGGTCTACAATATAAGAATCCCCATTTTATATACTAAAATTTGGTCTGAATAAGAAAAAAAGCCAAGTTATTTCTCTCATAATAGCTAAGCTATATAGGCGATCAGCCGAGTCAGATACCGAGAACCAATCAGGTATCAGGGTTGACGTGCACACTCACACTAACATACATACACGGTTGATCTTTCGACTCGATATTGAATCTCGGGTAGAAGAGAGAACCGTATAATTGTTGACTAAATGAGTCAATAGATTGACCAAAAAGAGATATAACCGAGATTGAAATGTGTTCTCTGGAACACAACGCGAAACAACCCTTCTACAAAGCCGCGACACCTACCATCTAAAATCGCAAAACTATCCGTGTTAAATGCATCCTCTTTATAATAAAGAGATTCGTCAAGATCGTAGGCCAGGAACCAGTTTACAGGCCAAACTGCGCGCGGAGAGCCTCGGCGAAGCGCGAGATAGCTTCGTCAATCTTCTCTGACGAAGCAGCTGCGAAGGTCGCACGGAAGAACATCTTCTCCTCAACGGTGTCATGGTCGGGTTTGAACCAGCTGCCGCGGGAGAGAAGGACGCCTCCGTCCACAGCGGACAGGAAGATTTCTTCTTCAATAGCGGTACGAGTCTTACCCGCAGCAACGCCGGGGTGCTTGTGCCAATCGATTTCCATCCAGTGCTGGTTATCAAATTAGTATTATCTCAGGATGATAGGTGAGCGGGATAAGAAAGAGAAAACTTACGAACATGCCAGCCGCGGGGGCTTCCCAGTGAACGATTTCGCGGGGCAGGTGCTTCTCACAGGCGTGAACAAGCGAGTCACGACGAGCAGTGTACGACATGCGCAGGTTGATCAGCCAATCCAAGTACCCAGAGTGGCCCCAGTGCTCATCCAGAAGTTTGAAGAGCGCGATCTGGGCAATACCGCTAGGGTTCTGTGAGGAAACCTCGAAGGTACGGATGAAGCGCTCGATGATCTGCTCGGAAGCGACGATCCAGCCAACCCGAGAACCGGGCGAGATAACTTTGGAGAAGGACTCGAGGCGAACGACACGGCCATCAGTGTCCATGCTCAGGAACGAGGGGACAAGCGACTTGATGAACTCCTCGTGGGTGGAAGGAGGAGGCACTGGGGAGGCGTCCCCGCTGGTATAGGGCTGCATCTGCAGGAAATAGTAGGGTTCGTCCTCAACGATGATGAGATCGTGCCTCTGTGCGACCTTGTACACTGCGTGGCGGCGTTCTGCGGACTGGGTGGCACCGGTCGGGTTCTGTCCTGTCGGGATGGTGTATAGCACGTAAGGCTTGCGTGCACCCCGGGCGGCGACGTCCCAGTTGCTGAGAATTTCGTCCATTTTCTCTGGGATGAGACCTTGCTCGTCCATTGGGATGCCCACGGCCTTAATGCCCAAGGGGAAGGCGGTCTCGGCGGCGCTGGCGAAGGTATATTCCTCCATGAGGATGTAGTCTCCGCGCTCACAGAACACGCGGAGAGCAGTGTCCCAAGCATAAGTGCTGCCGGAGGTCAGGGTGCATTGCCAGTCAGAGTAGGGAGGGCTGTGAATGATCTGCTGTGGTTAGTCTCTGCTGAGAAAGAGAGACCTGGTGTTTAATACTTACTTCGGTGTGCTCTGTGACAAAACGAAGCAATGGCGCAGCTCCGGTAGCTTGTCCGTAGTTAAGGGCAATCTCCAAGTCTAAGGAATTGGATCAGTCAGGGCCATTTCTAATGCATGAAGAGAATGGGGACTCACCATAGGTGCTAGTTCCTTCCTGAATATCATGCTTTCCGGCACGGAGAACTGTGCCCGACTCTCGAGTAGCCTCCGGAGAGAATCCGGGGGCAGTGGGGACCTTAATATCCAAGTGCTCGAAGGGGAAATATTCAGGCGAGGGCAGTCCACCACCGAGGGAAATAAGACCTTAAGGACACAATTAGACCATGAATCGAAAAAAAAGAACATATTCCGAAGTATTACCTGGGGTTTTCAGGTAACGAGCGGCCGTCTTCAAAGTGGACGCCTAAGGTGAGCAGATTAGCAAGACTGGACTTCGCATTGCGCAATTGAGTGCGAACCTTGCGAGACTTGGCTTCGAGTGAAAAATGGTCTAGGGTCAAATGAAAGTAAGTAAAAGTGGAATTATGAAAACAAGTCGGTATAGATTCGGAAAGGATAGGTAGACATACGCTCAAACCGCTTAGCCTTGGGCTTAGTATAACAGATCTAATGGTCCCAGACGCCATATCAGCATTCTGCATCCTACAATTGAGTTCTTTCGCCCATATCCTCGCGACGCCTGTGCCCAATCTGGAATTACCATACCGGGCTCTTAAACATATCACTGCTGGATGCCGCGGCCACGCCGGTGGGGATCTTGGCCATCTTCTCTCTCCATGCTGGCACGCCATTGACGGTCAATGGATCCGGGATAGGGACAGCCGAGGTATCGGTGACGCCCACCAGGTTGACATCTAGGGATGCTGGACTCATATTGTGTTGGCGGTGTAAATGCGGAATGTGGAATCGGAGGGGTATGCCGGGGGGGGGGGGGGGGGGTTGTGCGGAGCGGTTATACAGCGGATGTGTAGTATTAACCTGGTATGTGAGCTGAGTAGCAAAGCAGGCTATATAAGAAAGAAAGAGGAAAGGTGCTACAAAAGTCAACTCGGCGAAAGCGGAGCGGAAGTTGATCTCTCTCCATCCCGAGATCTTTCTCCGAACCACATGACTCATTTTATAAGATAAGAGCAACATACGGAGTACGGAGTTTATGTGTTCATAGTATGTAGAGTTCAATTTTTAGGATTTCCCTATTATTGGAGTCAATGGCTATAGGTAAATTTCTGTTAATTTTATGCACTGACATGTCAAAGGGCGTGGGGTGCTTTCTAACTGGGATAGATTTATTCCGTAGGTATCTTTTACCTGTGTTTTGCATACAAAATATACATTGATGTCATACTTTCGCTTTTTACCATATCCATCAACATACATACTCTTATCACGCCTTTTTCGTCTTTTTTTCCTGATCTTCTTTTTAGATGTATATTTTTTAAAACCCTCATTATTGGTGTTGGAGCTAGGATATAGGTGAAATATGCACACAGCTCACATGTACGAGCAAAGGGGAAGTATATGTATACACTTCCATTTGTATTTTTGTATACTTATCTGAATTAGACAAAATGTTAACTACATATGTAACTAGCGCAAGAAGAAAGACGAAAAGTAGAAAGAAAAAAAAAAACGGGGTCACCGCAACTTCAGGTGCCATCCATGGATAGCATACAAGCCTGACGCTCTACCATTGACCTACGCTGGCTATTGTTGAATGGCTGTCTTTAATTATGTCAATCACCGAAGAGTGAGCAGCCCCCTCTAGGATTGCAAAATGATCCGTGTCTTTTGTATGGGACGTACAAAGGTACAGTACTACACACAATATCTAAATTTCGGAAGGTATACCGTATGACCTACAAGCCCAGGGGTCGGCTCCTAGGTTGCATCTTGTCAAATCAAAGGACCGAGTACTTTTCGACCTCTAAATTTCAAAGTACTCTAAAGTACCCCTTATACTCTCTGAATTCCATGCTCTCACGAGCTCTCTACATATTTGCCTGTGGTCCCGTCGAGCTGTGCTTCCAGCACCGCTGCCTTTCCACTCAGAACACTCTGGATAGCTTCTGGAAGCTTCTGGGCAAGCTCAGCGACAGTCGAGGCACGGCCAGCCCACAACTCACCACCTGCCGCGGCCTTGGCAATACCGGCATAATCTGGCGTAGGCGCAAAGGAAATATTGAGGTCTTCGTTTGTAGCACGAGAGCCGTCCCCTTCAGGGTGAACGAGCAGCATACTGCGTCTGGGGGCATTCCAGCCCTTGTTATTCAGCACGATTGTCAAAACGGGGATTCCGTAGCGCCGAGCGATCCAGTACACAGATCCAGGTACCGAGAAGAGGAATGTTCCATCACCAACAACCTGACAGACAAACTTTCCCTTCCCACGTCCACCATGCTGCATATCACTAGCAAGCTTGATCCCAAGTGCACCTCCACCAGACCAGCCGAGACCACCACCTCCACAGTTGATCCACGATTGGGGTTGGGTAGCTGAGACTTGATCCGCAACAAAGTGGGTCATGGTCACGGCTTCGATAGCCCAGATGGTATCAGCTGGAACGCCTTGGCGGACTTGCATCATGAGATAGTTAATATTCAAGGAGGCTTCGCTGCCGCCCTCCGGGACCACAGCCAGATCGGAGATCTCTTGTCGACGCTTTGTATACTCCTCGTTTCGGCGTTGGCCCATACTGATATTCTCCTTGGAGCTAATGAACTGTTGCAGATAGTCCTGCGAAGCAACGTAATCGTTGATTTGCTTGAGCGCCGTTGAAGCGTCGGCGCGGAATGCAGCCATCGAGTGAATATAGAAAACTGGAATCTGCTGCTTCAAAGGGTCGACATCAATGTGGATAATCTTGGCCGACGCAGATGGCTTGAACTGAGTAGGCACCCAAGGGACATCACAGTCTACCACAAGAATTAGATCGGATGCTCCCACCGCCTCGTGGCCTGGATATCTCAATCCCAACCATCCAGGGTGGTCAGCGGGGAAGCACATGTCGCTACCACCGGTGTCTAGCACACGGATTCCCTTAAAGCTATCTGCCAATGCAACCAGCTCAGTCACAGCTTGAGATTTCCTCCCAGAATATCCAGTAATAATAATAGGGCTCCTCGCAGCCGCAAGCTCAGATGCGATCAATTCAACGCCGGAGGCTGGCAGGGCAGCCGGTGCCACAGGACCCCAGACAGCCTGGTTCAGCTGGTACGGTTCGATATCCTCCTCCATAACCTCTCGCGCACCAGCGAGATACACAGGCCCCTGTGGGTCACTGGTTGCAAACTGCAAAGCGCGGTTGACAATCTGCTTAACATTCTTGCCGGACTTGATCTCACCCGTGTACCGACAATACTGGGAGACGATTTGCTTCTGATCCGGCACGTCTTGGATCCAGTGGATATATTCCGTGCGCGAACCTCGCATCTCACCCTCGATCGTGTAAGGTGATAGACCGGCAAAGATTAGAACCGGGGCACGTCCGCATGAGGCGTTGTGAACAGCTGCTCCGAGTCCTTGCGTGCCGACATCGACATGGACGATTACCGCTTGCGGCTTTCCGGTTAGTCGGGCGTAGCCGTCTGCCATGGACAGTGCCACCATCTAAAAAAGGCATTTCATCGTAAGTAGTGCTCTCATCCATACTACCCACTCTAACCGTAGTGCTGGCGCTACGCTTGGTGGGTCGCATAATACAATTGTTAACGTACCTCATTAGGGCAGGTGATGATTGTAGGGAATTGGTCTTTCTTTTCTTTCTGGCCCTTCACCATCGCCTCCAGGATGGATGGGTGGTCTGATCCCAAATTGACAAAGACATGACTGACGCCGCCCTGGGGTCGTCAGGGTTAGATTGGAATGTTTGCCGAGTAAAGCTGCTACTGTATATGTAGTACATACCTCCCAGAGGGCTTCGAAGAAAGCAAAAGAGGCCGTATAAACCCTTGTATCATATGAGCAAAAAGAACATTCCGCAATGTTTGTATGGAAGGCACTCCATACATAGCTGAGCTCTATGATACTATAAAAAGTTGAATAGTAGAAAGGATGTTTTTCGAGTCTCTGGATATATCTGAAGAGCAAGCCAGAGAAGAGAGGGGAAGCTTGCTAATAAAGATCAAGATCTGTGAAGCCTTGGATTGGGATCTCGGCCACAACTCCGAGGGCGGGGAGCCGAAGGAACACCGACTGCCTCTGAAGAATTCAATACATATATATTTCTCGGTTATACTTTATTCGAAAGGAACATCTCCGACCTTGAGTTCTCCTCTCCAGGTTTGGGCCAGTAGGTACGGCGATTCGTTGAACCGCGGTCGATCAGGCTCATGCCGGGAATCAGTCTCCGAACTAGATCTCATATTTGGTCTAGCTCCTTAAAGTAAGCAATGACTTTCACGTGGGCATAATCAACCTCCAAGTATATAAAATCTCATGCTTAGAGAAGGCTTAGCACACTACGGAGTAGGAGAGCGAGGAAAGAGGGTTCGGTTCAACCAAATGAGATCGATGACTATAATCCGAAAGAACCAGCCTATAGAAGATCATTTCAAAGTCAAGTTTGGATAAATTTGGAAAACTATAAGCCCTTTTATCTGATCTGTGACGCGACTTTATCTATGTACCCAAGGGGTCCGTACATTATATATATTGGATATTGTAAATCACCTTATTGTCCCCACTACTAACCCACAATACAATTTACGCAAGCCAGTCACTACAATGTACGGAGTACACTTTTCCCAATACAGCAGTGGATACATATAAGTAATACGAAATGGGAGTTTGGTTCAGGGGCTTCATGGTAAGAACATATTATGCTAGTATATTGCTCTTAGGACTAAATTATATGGCAACGGTGACCCCGTTGTACACAATAAAACTGCCGAAACACTGCAAGAAAAGATGGATAACCTTTGTTCCTTTGAAACCAAAAAACGCCCCCTTTCGAGACCACAAGATCTACCGAGCACATCGGAACCCGCTTTAGATTGCCCATATGCGATCTCGGCAAACAGTCCCTCATTTCGCTAGTTGGATAGATCACGGAAAGCCACATTAATTATTATTGGTCAATAACTTCTCGGCATCTCCGGTACATTCATGATCGAGGAATCCTGGGGCATTGATTTGGTGACACGCATGCATGGCGCACGGCTTTGGTTTCAAATAGGGCTAGGACGTGGGGGCTATACACACCTGTGCCGCTATAATCGCCTATGGTTCCTCTCAATCGATCTAGGCGCTGAACTGGGCGCTGGCGAACGATTCCATCAAAAATTTGGCCACTAACGCTTGTTTCGATGGATCCTTCGCTACGGAGTATCCGGGGATTTTGGTTAATCTTGAAAATATATGAAGTCTTGATCCCCTTATCGTAGACAGCTTCCGGCTCGGATAATTTTTCTTTTGTACTTTTTTTTCTTTTGGCTTTCTATTTTGGTCATATATCAGCAAATCTTTTTTCGATTACCCGCTTCAAAAGCGATTGAGAAATTTCGAATTGGAAGGGTAATGAATGAGTGACTGGGCCTTTCAGTAAAATTTAGGGAAAATGGGAGCCTCAATGCCCATCGTGGGCCGAAGTCTCGCTATCCTCATCGTCTCAATTGTGATGATGTCTATTTCCATTGTGACGGTTTCATTACGAAGTTTTGTACGACTGAATATCATCCGGGCGTTTGGCTGGGATGATGCTTTGATGGTTGCTGCTTTGGTATAGTGACCCTGTATGATGTGACGTGTGATAGAGTCCTAATTTGCCATAGATCCTGTTTATACTTTTGAATGTTTGCGGCATAATTGGAACAATGAATGGGGTAGGGCATACGCGTTCAGATTTTACCAGTACGGAGATTTATAAGAAAGCACTTATGGTATGTGGTATTTTATATTGGAAAATTTCCATTGCTGACTATCTTCTATAGTGGTGGTGGCTTGGTCAAATGCTCTACGTATGGGCCTCAGCAGTTGCGAAAATATCAATTGCCGTTGCGCTTCTCCGGTTGGCCGTCGAAAAATCTTACCGAGTGATACTTTGGAGCATCATTGTTATTGCCATTGCTATCGGACTTATGTTCTGGCTTGTGCTGCTCTTCCTCTGTAATCCGATCTCATACTTCTGGGAACGAGTGGATGCAACCAGCACGGGAACATGCTTGCCCATGTCCACAGTTTTGGATATCGCTTATTTTTACAGCTCTGTGACTATATGTTGTGATTTATCACTTGGTCTGTTACCAGCTTTCCTCGTCTGGAAACTGCAAATGAATACCCGGACGAAGTTTGCAGTAGGAGGAATCCTCGGGTTAGGGGCCGTGTACGTGATCTATCTGGCCATTCTGGAGATGAGTTCCTAACCATAAATAGTGCGGCTGTGGCAGTGATATGCCGACTTCCGTTTCTACGATTCTATCCCGATGATGATTTCCTTTGTATGTCAGCCAATCCATTACTTCAAGACAAAATCTAACATCCTCCAGACTCTACCTACCAAATCGCCATCTGGTCTCTTATTGAGACCGGTCTGGGAATTACTGCAGGCAGTCTCATCACTCTTCGACCTTTATTCCAATGGCTCCTGGATGCACATTCGACTCACAATCATAAGTCACCCCGGCAAGGGATGTATTCAAAGCCATACCGACTGTCCAGCTTGCCAAGTGAGGCCATCAGAGAATCACAAAACACGAGATACTGGCGCCCTGATGTCGACCCCGACAACAACAAGAGTACAGTTGTCGCAGTCTCATCACAGCGGAGAGATAAACTCAGTATTAGCAACAGCAGTCAGGAAGCTTTGTATCCCGAGCCGCTCTCGCCAAATCATGTCACGATACAGAAGACCTTTGTACAAACAGTGACAGAAGGAAATAAATAGAAAAATTTACAATGTACAACAAATATTATTGATTTATTTAGACCTCGGGGGTTTTAGCGCATTTGTACAGCCCCCCTCCGCCCCCTGATCAGGGTCACATAGTTACCCCGGCTTTTGGCACAAGCAATCTCGAAAAGTGCATCTCATGTATTTTTATCTCTGATGCGGCCCTCCCGGGAAAGTCCATGGCTACACCGCCTTGTCGCTGATCTTTGCATCCTGAAGATAAGGCTGAGCATGTGGGGCTGGCGCAGCTGGGGCCATCTGCATCGATGCCTGAGTGATTATTGGCTTGGCTATGGTAAGCTGAACCCGTGAAGTGCCTTCATCCCTGTAGCAGCTGAAGAGAACACGAACAATGTGGCACCTGGGTGACTCGAAATCGGGTTAGGCTTCCCAAGGTGGGCTTGGGGCACGTACAAGCGCGGGAGGCTTCATGCAGGTGGACAAATTAGATGATTCAAAGCGACCTCAAGATGGACCCTATTCGTGTAACAACACTAATAAAAACCTAGGCAAGGGTGTAGATAAAAATTATATAGATAGAGTCGTACCCACCTACTAGACTCTAATCAAATCCTCGCTCACAGCACATTAAACTCCATCGTACTTACACAATGTCTCTATGCTCCGATATTCATGAGCCACCATACATAGTTCGACAAAGAAGGGACTCAAAGGCCCAGCCAATCCGCAAGCGCATCATCATCTGCTGCGACGGAACATGGCAATCCGCCGTCTCAGGGCAGAAAAATGTCCCATCTAATGTGACACGTCTCTGCCGCGCTCTCAACAGTGTCGGAACCGACGAAGATGGGAACCAATGGCAACAAATAGTCTGGTACGATTCCGGAATTGGCACGACTTCAGGTCCTTTGGGAAAAAAGATCGAAGGCGCCATTGGCCTAGGTCTGGAAGGGAATGTTGTGGAAGCATATAACTTCTGTGTCCTGAACTACAGACCCGGTGACCAGATTATGTGTTTTGGTTTCTCTAGGGGTGCGTTCACGGCCCGGGCCATTGCCGGTTTGATCTCAGATATTGGTATTTGCTGTAAACAGGATTTGAACCGGTTTCCCGATCTCTGGAAGGTTTATAAGAAAAATAAGCCCGGCGAACGGTTCTATTGCAGTGATCTTTGGTTTGAGTGGATGGATGGGAAGGCTGATGAGAATCAAGGCGCTCAAGGCCAGACTTTCGTATTTGAAAAGCGTCCTGAGGGCGACTGGGCCCAGGAGGGGTCAAGGGATGTCGAAGTTGTTGGCGTCTTTGATACGGTCGGCGCTATTGGAATGCCTGAGGTACTGGGAATGAAGCTGCCATCGTGGATCTTATGGTGGTCGCCGCATAAGGATGGGTGGGAAAATGTCGGACTTTCACCTAGTAAGTATCCTGAATCGGCTCTATTCTCCTTGGCTCGGTGTGGTTTTATGCCGAGCACAATATTGACAAACGGTCCCCAGATGTCAAACATGCATTCCAGGCTTTGGCCCTCGATGAACACCGCAACGCTTTTTCGCCTACCCTGTGGTATCTCCACAAATTTGGAAATGTCACTTCGGAGCAGATACAAACCCAGAGGAGAATGGTTGATCAGAAAGCTCAAAAATGGGACGAGATCTTGCAAGGCGCGATCCGCCTCAAGGGCAGTGGCGGAGCTACTGACGAGGATGTGAACAACGCAGCTCGAAAGCTAAACGAGACCGCCAGAGCCTTAAACCAGGAGACTCGAAAGCTCATAAAGTTGGAAGACGACCATAAGCATCAGCGCCACCCCCGAACATTGAAACAAGTGTGGTTCCCCGGGTATCACATTAACATCGGTGGAGGCTCGAGTGAAACACTCCAAGATGAGGGTGACATGGAAGAAATGTCTAATATAACCTTCTACTGGATGCTGGATCAGATCAGACCCTACCTCTCGCTCAACGACGAGTCTCTCTCCGATGAAAGAGAAGAGAGAGAATACCACATGTCAACGCTTCTTGAAGATACAGTCAATGCTGAGCCCTTGGGAGGTTGGGCCCAACGCAAAGCTGCAGCAATAGCCTCAGTTTTCAAACCTTCCTCCACGTCCTCCGTCAAGTCTATGGAAAAGCGACGCAACTATGGATGGGGAACAGGCCCACTGGAAGACAGCTTTACGGCATTTTACTACGCCAACGGCTCGAAGAGACGCACGCCTGGAAGCTACGATCCCTTCGACAAAAATGGAAAGCTACTGGGGGAGACTTTTGAGTTTATTCATCCAGTGGTGGGATTTAGGGAGAAGCAGATCAAGGACTACACGCCGATTGGACCTAATGTCAAGTTTAACCGTCGGAAGGAGGTTGACGAGAAAGGTCAGCCTTGTTATGTCTATGATCTGGGAAATGCGCGCAAGCCCTTGCCCGAGTGGCGCTTAGGAGGAGTTGACTCTTATGAGAGGCTCGCCATCACCGGCAAGGCCGCATATGATTATGTCGACGAACTTGATGTATATTTGAAGACTGGAATCAAGAACCCCCGCCGGTCTATCTGGGGAACTCGAGATATTGACCTTGGGATTGAAGTGCCTGAAGTCACTGAGCCTGAAGCTGAAGCTACTGGACTCACAGCTGGGGGCCTGCAACCGGAGTTCACATCGGAGAAATCCCAACAGAGAAGTTTCCAATTGACCGGTTTTGGGACCAAAGGAATGCAATTGAGGAGCACAGAGATCTCATACACTGAGGAGACAGTAACTTTGATGTGATTGTGTTTTCAACAATGTGCGGAAAAGAATGTATTGGCAGGTGCATGCGGACGGAAACGAAAACAGTCCGTTGTTCCAGGGCTTTATAGTTTCTTTGTGCATAATTCATTTAATGTCTTTAATAATAATTACAAATTGATATCCATGCAATTCTGTGGTTGGTAGGTGATTTTTCTTATATGTGCATCCATGGCAGTCCAAGAGTGGATGGTAAAGATTGTAGAACTTCCAGATATCAAGCCCCTTTCTAATACCAGGAACAATAAACAATATGTTTATTTTGTGGGGTATGCATCCGACGTCATAGGGCTGAATATCAAGTTGAAAAAAACCTGGGCATTTAGAGAGCCAAGGCAAAGTTATTTAGGCACCACAATTCTTTTTCCATTTTGATTGAATTCCTCCATCTGGACCCATTTGTTCTCTCCCAAGCGTCTCAGAAGTGCCCCCCCCCCCCCCCCCCAGAAAGCTCGGCAGGGCTAAGTTCCCTACGTCATATCATGGATGGTATATTCCACCCGTGGAACTTTTCAGGAACATTGAACTGCTTTGAATTTGTTAAGCTGCTTGCTGCTACCTGCACTTTTTTTTTTGTTGAAATTATTTTAATTCAACCAAGTTCCAATCGAGTTCAGTACAAAATGGTATCACGCAAGGTGTACAATATGTGCCAAGGGCAGACAGTGACCTCAGAGTTAGCTCGTGAACCGTCGCAGTGTCCGCAAGAGGTTTTTCATGAGCTATTTGAGAGTCATCATGCGTCCCATGCGTACGATGGCGCGGAAGAATCAGATGTCAACAAAGTGTCAGAATGGGAAACGTTGAATGACTTGCAGAAAGCTCGCGCTTGCGGGAACTTTGGGTCTGTGGAAACGAGCGACCTATTTTTAAAGGTGAATTATTTTGCTATCTCACTCTCACCACTAGGAGAGAAGATCTAACACATGTCCACCAGGTCTATCATGACGCCCTATGTTGTTTAGAAAAGAACCCAATGTCTGGGGTTGTATCGCCCCAGTTGATGGGGAGCACAGGAGTTCTACCACTGACAATTGTCGCCCCATTACCTGATCTCTGTCGTCATTTAGCGAATTGTATCGTGCGCGCCGAACATGAAGTTTTTCTGGGTACCAATTTCTGGATCTACTCAGACTCATCGACATTAGTGACGAATGCCATTCGGGAACTTTCCAAACGAGCAGGAGAAAGGGGCCAAAAAGTAGTGATGAAAATGATCTATGATCGTGGAGATCCTCGCCAGGTGAGTGCTCTTACTTCTGATGTATATCGAATACGATCTGCAGACATGATTCTAATGAGCCCCTAGGCATGGGAAAATAGATTGAGTGTCCGCGAGGAACAATATGTCGGCGGAAAAGTGAAGCTACCTGCCGCGAGCGAGATCCCCAATGTTGATCTCCAAGTCATCAACTTCCACCGGCCTGTGTTTGGGACCTTCCATGCAAAATTCACCGTTATTGACCGGCGCATGGCTATCATACAGAGCAGCAATATTCAAGACAACGACAACCTTGAGATGCTAGCTCATATCGAGGGCCCGATTGTTGACTCTTTCTACGATACTGCTTTGCTATCGTGGGGAAAGCTTCTCGATCCCCCGTTCCCACTTCTGAATTCTCCAGCGAGGGATGCTCCGAGCCCATGCCACGAAGAAAGGAATGGAGTTTCTACAGAGAATGGAGACATAGCTCTGCCTGAGCATACTACCAACTCTCCAAATTATGATAGGGACTTTGAACAAGAGGCCCGGAGAGTCAACGGTTGTATTTACCCACAGGGCGACGAAACGCGCACACAGGCTGTCAGCCGTCATCTCAGTACGTGGAATATGTGCACTATTGATGACAATACCTAACAACTATACAGATACAACTATCCAGCCTAACACAACAGGCGATGCATCAGACAGCGACCAGGATAATATGTTCAACCCTTATATGGTCCTACCTCGCCACGAGCCCTTCGCAATGGCAGTAGTAAATAGGGAACCATATGGGTGTAAGTCTAAACCACGAAGATAATTTTCCTCGGAGTGCCGAGCATGAATCTAACTCTCAATTTCTCAAGCCCCAAATCACAGCAGCATCTACACCCCGCAAAACTCGGCGTGGCTGTCCGCAATCAATAACGCCCAGCATTCAATTTTCATTCAGACACCAAACATGAACGCTGAGCCTCTAATAGAACCCCTCATTAACGCTGTTCGCCGCGGCGTCGTGGTAACCTGCTATCTCTGCCTTGGTTATAACGACGCAGGCGAGCTCCTCCCGTTCCAGAATGGAACGAACGAAATGACTGCGAACAGGATGTACAACTCCCTCAATACCGATGAAGAGAAATCTCGCCTACGGGTATGCTATTATGTCGGCAAGGACCAGACTCGCCCCATTCATAATAGCTTCAAGAAGCGGAGTTGTCATATTAAGTTGATGATCGTCGATGAGCAGATTGCGATTCAAGGTAGGTCCCTAAAAATACTAGCGGAGAAGTATACTTTATCCAAGTATCTAACAACATTTTCAGGAAATGGAAACCTCGACACCCAGTCATTCTTCCACAGCCAGGAAGTCAATGTGCTCATTGACTCTAAGCTCGTTTGTCGTGCTTGGATAGAGTTGATCAATCGCAACCAAAATACTGCTAAATACGGCGCAGCAAGTAAGAAGGATGGCTGCTGGCATGATCCTGAGACCGACGAGATCCCGGCAGGCTCGATTGGGCCTGTACCGGGTCGGTTCAGTTGGGCTAAGGGAATTGTTGGCGCTGTACAGCGAGTGAGAGGTGTTGGCGGATTCTAAGAAGCTCATTTACTCATGTGCTTGCTTCTATCTTCGGACATTTTGGTATAGAGAGACTGCAAAACTATGCTAGAAATCTCTCATCGAGAATATATGATAGTATTATGGTCTATATAGCTTTTCCGAAGGACTAGAAATCGACGGGTCCGGTCTCTTCCCATCTCTAGCTGTACGATATGTACTGGGGTGAAAAAAAGATAGGAGGGTATAGTAATCGTAATGATAAACGCTCTCGCCGGGGTAAATTGTGACAGCGGACCAATGCTTATAGGGGGCGATTCGAAGAGGGTGACCTAGTTTTGGTACGACTATGATGCGACCAGATGATTCTAGGAAATCCACCGAGGACTTCTCCAACATGTACCCTGCACAAAATATTGCCAAAATCATCAATTTTTATTGTCTCCTCAAATTTACAACAAATCAGGCTTAGAGTAAGCCATTGAAACCTCCATCCATACAAAAATGTCTCGCCTGTACGACCAGCCAATAGTCGACATAGTAAACTATGTCTACCACCACACCCTCAACCAAGACGACGAAGCGATCTGGAGATGCGCACGGACAGCCCTGCTGGACGCAATGGGCTGCGCCATCGAGACAGCAGCAACGAGCATCGAATGTCGAAAGCTGCTCGGTCCCGTGATCGAGGGGACAGTCATGCTGGACGGGTTCAGGGTCCCAGGAACGGAGTTGCAGGTTGATCCCGTGAAGGGGGCTTTCGATCTGGGTGTCCTGATTCGGTACTTGGATCATAACGATGCGCTTGGTGGTGCGGAATGGGGACATCCTTCAGGTATGGTTTGTTGAAGATACGAGGGTGGGAATCGTGCCCGTGAGGTACTAATATATGGATTGCGTTTCAGATAATCTCGGTGCTGTACTCCCAGTCATGGATTGGCTGTCCCGTGCAAGTTTGTCTGGTCGCCGGGTTCATGACGGTCCGCCGTTGACGATGCAGACGCTGCTCATTGCGCTAGTCAAGGCATACGAGATACAGGGGTGTTACCAGATGCGGAACGCATTTAATGCTTATGGAATCGACCATGTGGTACTGGTCAAGTTGGCTTCTGCTGCTGTTGTCTGTTGGTTGCTTGGGATGTCAGATGAACAAGCTATGGCGACTATTTCTCATGTTTGGATGGATGGCCATCCGAAACGGGTGTACCGATCCGGCGAAAATACTATCCCGAGGAAAGGGTGGGCAGCAGGCGATGCGGCGAGAAGAGCTGTGCAGTTGGCTCTACTGGTACAGGAAGGCCAGGCTGGTTCGCCGGGGGCGTTGAGTGCGAAGCCATGGGGGTTTTGGGAGCGGACTTTTGGCGAGGCGGGATTTGTACTTCCACGACCATTTGGGTCATGGACAGTGCAGAATGTGCTGTTCAAAAGTATGCCGGTAGAAGGACATGCGATCTCGGCCGTGGAGGCAGCTGTTTTGCAAGCGCGTCAATTTCGACAGAGAGGGCTGTCCGATCCTCTCAAACAGATCGAGCGAATAGATCTGCGAACGACTGCTGCTGCCTTTTTGATCGTCAACAAACATGGGCCGCTGCACAACGCTGCTGATCGCGATCACTGCATTCAGTATGTGGTAGCCTTGGCTTTCTTGAAGGGTAGTCCGCCGGAGGCTGCGGACTATTTAGACAAAAGCCCGTGGGCGAATAGTGAGGAGCTTGAAGCCCTGCGAGAAAGAATCGTGGTGCAGTCGGATCCTAAGCTCACGGAACACTACTTGGATCTGGACAAGAAGAGTATTGGTGCAGGGATGACGGTCCATTTCACAGATGGGTCCTCGTTGCCTGAAATACTGATGGAGTATCCCGTAGGACATGCGCAGAATCCGAAAACACCAGCTGCGATACAAGATAAATTCTTCCAAAATATGGGGCTTATGTTCTCTGCAACAGAGATCGGTCGGATATTGGGTGCTGTTCAAAATCCAGATACTTTGATCTCGGATTTCACAGATTTGTTTATCCAGCCATCGGCCAAGGCAAGATGGTAGAAGGCAAAAGCTATTTGCAGGGGTCATGAGTTGCTTGTACTAGCCAAAAAGGATGATCTTGTTCAGGGTATCTAGTGCTGCCGTTCGCTTTTTCTCAATCGATTCTCCCAACTCCCTGCAGCGTCAAATAAACATCTGTCCCCCATCCCCACAAACTTTGCACCGCAATGCTGCCGCCGAAGTATTCAGCGTAGGCTCGACCGAGAGGCAGCCCATAACCAAGACCGGCAATACTACTGAGTTGGCCACCACTAGCAGAGATGGTGTTCAAGGCATCCATGTTACCGTTCTCTGAGCCCTGGTAGTCCATATCGGAGAAAGTCGTGAAGCTGTATGACCAGATATGGGGAAGAACCTCAGGCGGAATACCACCACCACGATCACGGATACGAATTGTGATACTCTGAGACGACGGAGCGGAGTACCCAATGGTTTCATTCTCATTGGCGCTGGAAAGCTCTGAATCAAGCTCAAAGCCAGCATCGGCGTCACCCGGAACCTTCGGCTCATGCCCGGGCACATCTGGAGCAGCAGCGATCGTCACCTCAATGGGCTCACGCTCATTCCCATTTTCAATAGTTGCCCGGAATGCGTTCTTCAACAGCTCCGTGATGATGTACTCCACATGTACAGGGATATGAGCAAAGGTGGCCTCAGGCTCACCTCCAATCTTCAAACGCGGTCGCACTCCGTACTTGAGCTCACAGATTTCTCCAACGAAATCCTCGCATAGCCGGATGATGCGTGCCGGCTGCAACGCCGTATCAATGACGCCGATATAGTTTGATGGAATTGAATTATTAGGAGCAGGTGCCTCAGTGGCATCGTCAAGGTTATCATTGATGGGCTGGGAGGCATAATGAAGAGCTAGATGCTGTTCTGCGATCAAGCGCGTACCGATACGCGCACGTAGATGCGTGTCTAAGAAGCTCGTCACATCGGCCGGGCTGACATATTTCCTGCACTCCAAAAACCCTCGGGCAAGGACGGGGATTGTATTTGTATGCGTTTGTACGAGGTCTGCCAGCACATCCCCGAACTGTTTCTCTTCTTCGAGAGTCGTGATGCGGCGCTGTTGATATGGTATGAGGGTCGATAGCGAATGGAGGTAGTTGTGGTAGATTTTGGAGACATGAGGGTTTGACACGACGATAAAAGGGAGGTTTCGTAAGGCTTGAATCCGAGAAGCCAGTCGGGCGGGGAGGAGGGAGAGTGTAAAGTTGGCGGATGCTAGAAGAGCCTCTTTGCTCAACGGCGGGCGGCCGTGTCTGAGGGATTGACATGAATTTAGCACGTTTTGATTCGACTTTGGTGTACCTTATGTGTAAACAAGACTGACTTTAGTAGGTCTGCAAGTGTCAATGGCCGACGGGGACTCGCAGCCAGCTGCGCAACATTGTCTTTGGCGACTTCAAACGGGCGACCAGCCCAGTTTTCACTCTGCGTGGATGATTGCCGAATAATGCGAGGCACAATCGGAAGGGCCCGGCATCCAGGCCGAAACGGCATAGCTCTAGGTATTGAGGCTGTCATTGTGAATTGTTATGAGATAGAGAGAGATAAGTGGGAGTTCACATTGAAACCTCGGGACGGAAGATCTGCATCGGCGGTGCGGATATCATCGGTCTAATGTTGCAGATCAACAGGGATCAAACTTCTAATCTTGCTATATTTCAAAGGTGTATTTACAGGAATTTCTACTCTCAGATGTTGCACAGTGCTCATTCAAGTTTAAATTCATACACACTGTGCACATAACTCAAACTGATAGTTGGATTCAGGAAAATTGCTCCATCTGTATGAATGCCTGTACCTCTTTTGGAAAATTCGGGTACTCATAAGATGTACATGGCATCGCGGATGAAATCAGATCGCGTAATTGGTATCAAGTCATCTCGCTGAAGCAAAACAAAAAAAAAGTAAAGAAAAAGAACCCCCAAATTTCGTGTTTCCATTCGGTCATAAATCGGAACATTCACAGCGACTGCAGTCTTCAGTCCTAGTCATGTTGACCGGGGACGTCTACTGGGTCTCCACTGCACCGTCCTGCTCAACGTGGACATGTTCAGTAGATTCGAAGGTTTGGACAGTGTCATCGGGGAACTCGACACTATTGATCCATATATTAGTATGCGCTTGACATAGATCGAACCAGCAACACTTACGTGAAGCCTTTGATGATGCTGTATTCATGTCTGATGACGCCGCCCTTCTCCCTGGCCGTGGCCTTGGCTCTAAGAAGATATGTTAGTATCAAGGTCTTGGAGATATTGGTAATGCGACCAACTTTTCCAGCTCCTCAACGGGAGCGTCGGCCTTCAGAGTGATCTAAAGAGATGTTAGCCCGAAAATTTTTTCGAAGAAAAGTCGAACTCACGTTGTAAAGAGGCATGGTGTTAGCGAGATATGTGTCAAAGTGGAAGTGGAGAAGGGAGAAAGAAAGAATTTATAGGGAGAGGGGGGCTGAGGGGGGTTGAGGCTACACTTTATTTTGGGGGAACCTTGGAAGGCGCCTGGAAGCAGGTACCTTCCAATCACCCTTTGTCTCTCCTTCTTGTACTATCCTATATATCCATGGATGTATATACTTGAAATGATTTGGTGTTACTTGATGTCGTGATCTATTGGTATCCTTGTCTGACATAGGCTTTTACGGTCTCTTTGAAAGCCGGGTTTTCCATATCCCTTACTAAAATGACCCTTTCCTATACAATTCTAATCCGGCCTACATCTGTTGTAAGGGGGGGGATCACTGTAATCACTGTAATCACTGTTGATGTAACAATGCGAGGCAATGACATCATATCCAAGAAACGCGGGGCAATATGTCTTGCATAGTATTCAACGCTTCTATAGACGACTCTATAATTTTACTTGATATCCTTAGACTCCAATGTAACCATCCTCTTCACGGGGGGGCATCTTCATCCCGTGCATTCCCTTGTACTTGGGGCTTTCTGGAGCCTTCCACCCCTCCAAGACCTTGTCATCTGCCAGTTGATATACCTCCACACCCAACGGACGACAAGTGGCTCCCATATCACCTTCCTTATCATCCCAACCCCAATTGGACAAATCACCTGAGAGTATTATTAGCATGAAAATGAGACAGTCGTGTATCATGAAGGTGCCATACCGCCAGGGCATGCAGATAGCGCGCAGAGAACATCCACTTCTGCAAAGAACTCAAAGTACTCGCCCGCCCTTGCAGGGGAGGTCTCCATGAAGTATTTTCCATCCTCATCCAACCCTGTCACCTGAAATACATTCAAGACATCATGAACATCTAGCTCCGTTAATCCATGAGAGACGACAGAGCGAGTCAAGTTCGAATGACAGTGAAAGTCAAAGGTCTCTCCGCCCATAAGCAAGTTCACGTAAGGATCGCATCGAGTCCCCATCAAATCATGCACCCGTCCTCCAAACTGCGTAGTCCCAAACACAACCTCTGGGTTGCGCTTCCCATCTGGTCCAAGCACGTCATGTAACTGCCCGCCACCCAGCGAGTCACCCGTGATTGTTACCAGGGGCCGCAGGTACGGCAGGTTCGACCACAGCCGATCACCCACCGAGACGTGGGAGGCGTGAATCTGTCGGGTACGCGCAGCCCACATCCGTTCTCGGGGGTTATTTGCGTTCCAGATGTTCAGGTCGCCCACCTGTGGCCCCTTCGGCGTGGTTAGACGGCAGATGTGGCCGGCGGGGACAATCCACGCTTGGGCGGAGTATGGTCTGATAGTGAATGATTCCTTTGAGATCCGTGCAGAGGGGGTGGATGCGGTTTCGGAGATTGACCGGTACAACTTCGAAGTTGCATGAACCCCCGAATCGGGCGGTGCTGTGTAAGCTGGGGGTGGCCGATGTGCAGACATTATATGCGGTTTGTGGGGTTGTATAGAAATTGGATGTCACACGAAATGATAGTAGACATGGAGCGAGAATGGATCCATAGAATACGGGGGAAGATATGGAGTACTTTATAGCTCTAGATTATCGGAGCCTTCCCGATGTCAACTCTTTCTGCCCCGCATGATAGCCAAGAAGGGAAATTACATCCTGCGATTTCTAAAGAAGTGCACGGTGCGAGATAGGAGCGCTATCGCACGGAACCTAGGGCCGTAGACTCAAGTAAAGCTCAAGCAGCGGGGTCTCTGGTGTCTCATGGCTCGAAGTGGAGCCAAATGGCCGGCCCGGTGGAGGATAAGAATGTCTGCCTCAGGCCAAAGCTAAAGAAATGTTTTATGCCTTAGGCCATGAGGCATCTGATATCCTGACTAAGGGTTATCCACTCCGCTTTGGCAAAAAAATAATTACTGTTAATTTTCTAGCCGTTGGGGAAAGTCCTCTACATTGCGCTTGCCTTTCTTTCTTTTGATAAAAGCAGTGGATCTGTTGAGGTAATATACCTCTTTACAGATATCATGGAGCAGCAGGCCAACAGGGCGCATCGCCCTGCCAAAGAGAAGAAGAAATTTGACGGTACGGCGAGACCACTCTGATAAAACTGCAAACTTTGTGCTTCCGAGCCCAGGCTGACAATGATTCTTCTTTACAGGTGCTAATCCGAAAGCATTCGTCACCTCAAGACCTGGAAAACTCAATAAGCAGGCTGCGCGATCGCATGATGTATGTATATGGAATTTTCTGTTGGCCAATTGATGCTGACCTGGACTTCTCCTCTAGGTCAGAGAAAAGAGGCTCCATGTCCCCCTCGTGGATCGTATGCCCGAGGAGGCCCCGCCCGTCGTTGTCGCCATCGTTGGACCCCCGGGAGTTGGCAAGACCACTCTACTCAAGTCTCTGATCCGCCGCTACACCAAGCAAACCCTCAGCTCCCCGCAAGGCCCGTTGACCGTTGTTACAACCAAGCGCAAGCGTCTCACCTTCATCGAATGCCCATCCGACTCTCTTGCAGCTGCGATCGATGTTTCCAAGATCGCAGATATTGTGCTCCTCATGATTGACGGAAACTTTGGATTCGAGATGGAGACCATGGAATTTTTGAACGCCTTACAGACGTCTGGTATGCCGGGTAACGTCTTCGGTATTCTTACCCATCTTGATCAATTCAAGAAACATAGCACCCTGAAGGACGCGAAGAAGCGCCTGAAGCACCGTTTCTGGAGTGAGCTATACGCTGGCGCAAAGCTCTTTTACTTGTCCGGTGTTATCAACGGCCGTTACCCCGATCGTGAAGTGCACAACCTTTCCCGATTCTTGTCCGTCATGAAAAATCCTCGTCCGCTCGTGTGGCGCAACTCGCACCCTTACGCGCTTGCAGATCGCTTCTTGGACATTACACCACCTACTCAGATCGAGGAGAACGCGAAGTGTGATCGCACAGTCGCGCTCTACGGTTACCTGCGTGGCACTAACTTCCCCTCACATGGCGCCCGAGTCCATGTTCCTGGTGTTGGTGATCTGACAGTTGCGAACATTGAGGGCTTGCCCGATCCATGCCCAACTCCCTACATGGACCAGCAGATCGCCAAAGCAACTGGAAAATCGAACAGGCGCAAGCTTGGCGAGCACCAGAAGCTGCTCTTCGCTCCTATGTCTGATGTCGGTGGTGTTCTGGTCGACAAGGATGCAGTTTACATCGATATCAAGACCAACACCTTTGACCGGGACTCGGATGAGGATTCGGACGATGAGGAACGCCGAGGTCTTGGCGAGCACCTTGTTGTTGGCCTTCAAGGCGAGCGCAAGATGCTGGGTGAGGCTGATCAGGGTGTTCGTCTCTTCCGTGGCGGCGAGGCCCTCGATAAAGCGGATGACGAGGAGACAGGCCGTAAGGATCAACGCCGCGCCCGCGTGGCCGTACCCGAACCAGATGACTTAGTTATTCCCGAAGGGTCCGATAGCGAAGAGGAGATCCTCGAAGATATTAACGAGGATGATGTGACAGATGATGAAGGCGAACTCGAAATGTCTGCACCCACAGACTTTGGAGCCCGTTTTAAGGCCAAACAGAACGGAAATGACGACGGAGAAGCAGAAGACATGGCTTTCGCTGACAGTGATTCTGACCTGGGCTCCATCTCTTCAGTTTCAGACCAGGAACTCGAGAGCGGCGATGAAGATGAGGATGAGGATGAGGATGAGGATGAGGATCAGGATGAGGATGATGAAGAAGATGAGGAGGGCAATGTTCGATGGAAGGAGAACATGCTCGCCAATGCCAAGTCTCTTCACGGAAAACGCCCTCCTTTCCGAGTCAGTGACCTGTCAAGAATGATGTACGACGAGTCGATCACCCCACTTGATGTCGTGAAGCAATGGCGCGGCGAAGATTCCGACGATGAGGAGGACGACGAAGATAGGACCGCTGACGACGAAGGCGAGGACTTCTTCAAAAAGACAAACAACGAAAAAGAAGACCAAGCCGACTTCCGTGCCGTTCCAGAGTACGACTACGATGAGCTGGAGCGGAAGTGGCGGGACGAGGAGTTGCTCGAATTAATCAAACTCCGCTTCATCACTGGCAAACTGTCCGGTGGTGGCTCAGATGATGAGGATGAAGATATGGACGAGGATGAGGATGAAGATGAGGGCGACGGTGACTACGAAGACTTGGAATCTGGCGAAGTTTTCAATGGCATCAAGGAAGATGGCGACGAAGACGAGGAAGAGGAAGGTGACGATGAGCCTGAAAAGGCTGCCGATCTGGAAGCCGAGCGTGAGCGAAACGCCAAAAAGAAGGAAGAACTAAAGCTACGTTTCGAAGAAGAGGACCGCGAAGGCTTTGGAAAGGTTCAGGACGGGACGCACGATGGTATCGATGGCCAGTTCGGCGAAGACGATTGGTATGATCTGCAGAAAGCCAAGTTGCAAAAGCAGGCAGATATCAACCGCGCCGAATTCGAGACACTCGACCCTGCCTCGCGCGCCCGGGCTGAAGGTTACAAAGCCGGCACCTACGCACGAATCGTCCTCGAGAACGTACCTTACGAGTTTGTCTCCAAGTTCAACCCTCGCTTCCCTGTCATCGTTGGTGGTCTCGCACCTACTGAAGACCGATTCGGCTACGTTCAGATCCGGATCAAGAGACATCGCTGGCACAAGAAGATTCTCAAGACCAACGATCCATTGATCTTCTCGCTTGGTTGGCGACGTTTCCAGACCATGCCTATTTACAGCACCTCCGACAGTCGGACGCGAAACCGCATGCTTAAGTACACACCCGAGCATATGCACTGCTTCGCTACCTTCTACGGTCCTCTTGTCGCCCCCAATACTGGTTTCTTATGTGTGAACTCGTTCTCGAACAAGAACCCTGGTTTCCGCATTGCCGCCACTGGTGTTGTCCAGAGCGTGGATGAGCACACAGAGATTGTCAAGAAGCTCAAACTCACTGGTCACCCTTACAAGATCTTCAAGAACACTGCCTTCATCAAGGATATGTTCACCTCTGGGCTAGAAATTGCCAAGTTCGAAGGTGCATCCATCAAGACTGTCTCCGGTATTCGCGGTCAGATCAAGCGTGCGCTATCCAAACCCGACGGCTGTTTCCGTGCTACATTCGAAGACAAGATCTTGATGAGTGACATTGTCTTCCTGCGCGCTTGGTACCCCATCAAGCCGCACCGCTACTATAATCCTGTGACCAACTTGTTGGATCAAGTCGAAGGTGAAAAGGGTGATAACGGATGGCAAGGCATGCGCTTGACTGGTGAAGTCCGTCACGCTCAGGGCATCGCCACCCCCCAAATCAAAGACTCAACTTACAAGCCCATTGAAAGACAAGAACGTCACTTCAACCCGCTCCGTGTGCCAAGACAGCTGGCCGCCGAGCTCCCCTTCAAGTCGCAGATCACCAAGATGAGGGGCCACAAGGAGCCGACCTACATGCAGAAGCGTGCCGTTGTCCTCGGAGGCGAGGAAAAGAAGGCCCGTGACCTCATGCAGAAGCTCACTACCATGCGCAACGAGAAGCAGGCCAAGCGATCCGCCAAGCAGGAGGAGCGCCGCAAGGTCTACCGCGCTAAGGTGGCCGATGGCCTGGAGAAGAAGGCCGAGCGCGAGAAGAGAGAGCGCAATGATTACTGGCGCAAGGAGGGCAAGAAGCGCAAGAACCCGGATGAAGACTCTGGTGGCCGTGGACGCGGCAAGAAGCGCAAGTGATCTATTCTTTGTTCTTGGACATGTCTTAATCTACTTGGGTCTTTTGCATAGATGGCGTTTGGACCTAAAACTTGTACCTACATTATGTTGGATGTTTATTTATATCAAAACTATTTCAGGAATGCAATACTGTTTGCCCAGGATCTTTTCTTCCTCCCATATCGTCTATACTATGTTTCCTTTCCATACTATGTTTCCTTTCCATATTATGGGCGATACTGCTTATCGCCGTCATACTGGTCTCCGATGCCAGAAGTAGAATCTCTGACTCGAATCAAAGTTGGAGCGTGTGAAAGCACCCGCCGGTTCCCAAAGCAGGAAAATTCTATAGTAAACCTAGGATTTGAATTGTTCATATGACTAGGTGTAGCTTAGTAGGTGATAAAGTATGGAATATTCCTTCTTCCATCGTCGGACACAAACCCTAACTCACAAAGCTTCATTTCCATAACAAGCTGAGTAGCACTCGCAGTCCTGTCTATATGATCCTTACGAATTCCCACTGTCCTCGATTTCCAATTATCCAACTACATCTATCTTCCATCAAGCTCCATCAAGTCTTGGTCTCCATTCATCGATAAAACATCTTAACATCTTTCCCAAACATCAAACAATTAGAAAGACATGGCTCCTATCCCAGGTTTTGCCAACGACAACACGCTGTCTCCTCGGGCTAACAGTAACCACGAGGTTGACATGGAGAGAGAATTATTCCTCATGAAGCTTCTCTTCGGGATGATCATCGCTGCAATCGTCGTGTTCTTGGGGTACTTGTCGTAAGTCCGCCATCCACCCAACAATAATAGAAACTACTAATGGCTGTATTAGCTACCTTCAGCTGAAGCCCCCGTACAAGGAACTATGGAAGCCCAAGCTTAAGCCCAAGCTTGAAGACTGCAGGGAGAAGTATGAGGGGTGGAAGAAGAAGATGGCCTGGAATGGCCCCAAAGAACCAAGCAAGTTGATACTTGATCCCCTCAGCCTTTGATACTAACGTTCCTTCTAGAGGCGCCAGAGCCTGCTCACGTGGCTCGCCATGTTTCTCAGGCTCCGGAGGTCAAGCCGATCGTTCGTGATTTGACTCCGGAGTATATGAGGATGTCAACAGCGGCCATGGTTTAGGGGAGGTGTGTCTGGCTCAGTGCCGGAAGAGGTATCAAAGGCCTGCCAGGCTGATGCCTGTATTTGATACGGAGGAAAGGGGTTCTTGTTTCTTGTTTCTTTTTCTCTTTTGTTTTTTTCTTTTGTTCTTTCTCTCAGCTTATTCTTACTGTCCGCTGAGTTGTAACTTGACTCTGTCGTCATTAGAGTTGAGTCATTTCGGAGTATAGTTCCTGTATCTCTTATCATTAATGAGAACTCCAAATTTGATACTATTACTTTCTTGACTTGTATGTAGTCTCTCGTGGATCTTGTATGCTTGGAAGTATAGCGCAATCGGACACAAGTCCACCAAGTCCACTCACAACCATCTTCAACCATCTTCATCTCCAAATGACCTTATACTGATAGTTTAAGAATAATCTTCTTCATAAACTCATTGAATCAGATGAAATCGGTCTAGTACCATCCACGTGACCGCGCCTCACACGCGTGTTCCACCAGTAACCCTTACCTCTACCAACTACTCAGCGGTTTTTCTTTTGGTGCTAGCATATTGTGGCGCATCTATATTCAAAATAGTTCTTACTGCATTCTTTTGTTCAAATCCCTGTCGGGCCCTTCATCCGGGGTCAGAATCACGGAGAAACTCATTTGCCGCCTCGTGCTGTCGCAACCCTTGCGCGCGTGCTGGTCGATCGCCACTCGATCGGGCAGATGCTCCTGGTTCCCACAGTACTCCCACGCGTCTTATTGAGATCTCGACTGTTAGTTGCATCTAAATCACTTGGTATCAAACATTCCCGGCTCCGAGTCTCGATGTGGTGACTCGAAACAGGGCATGCGTGTTGAGATCGTGCGGCCGCGTAAACTCGCGATTAAAGCTAGCTCGCGCGTATTTGCCGATTGTCACTATCCCAGCATCTTTTAATATTCCACATCCTCACCCTTGACCATGAATGACGGTCGCGATGCTATGTCTAATCGCGGGGTGCTCCATGCGGAGGCCAGTGCGAACACCCACTCTATGAACAACGCGACGTCTCCCGTGCCTCACAAACCAATGCCTTCGGCCGATACCCAAACCACACAATTGCCGCAACCATTGTCACTACAAATAGATGGCTTGAACGCTGTTACCGTCGCTCACGGCGACGGTAACCCGAACCCAGCCTATATCGAATCATCGGAGCGCGGCAGCAATACGTCGGGCGATGGCCGACGACTAGACCTTTCCGCTAGCACCGTCACAGACTCTCTTTCCAGCCTTCCTTTATCCTCGACCAATGGTAATAGCCAGTCGACAGAGTTCGGTAACTCTCATACATTGAATGGACAGACACCGGTACCGTGGGTGGATCGGGAGTTATTGGAATCCCAACTCGCCCCGCACATGCAGCCGGTGAATGGAGGCGCCTCAATAGATCGATGGCAACCCTCATTGTCGCCGATCAAAGCCGGCAATGTTGCAATATCACCGCCGCCATCGCCAAAACATTCGCGTACAAGGTCGAACTTTGATGCTCGCTTGGCCCCCAGCCAGAAACGAACAGCAGCTGGCGACTTCAAATCTACTTTAGACCCACCCACAACTCACAGTGCCGACGCGAATGGAGCTGCACGACGACGTTCGAAGAGCACAGGCTCGCCAGCTTATGGGAGTAGGATTGCACAGGTAACGCGCCCACCCGCCCACTCAAGAGTCTATAGCTCATTTGTATTACCCAGTTGTCGATCCATATCCGTACACGTCTGTCATACGCGGCCGCCAAAGTAGAACAGGCCCGACAGTCGCGTGAAGCTACCCCACAAACCGCACTGCGAACACACAACAGCGCGTCGCCATTGAGTCCGTCGGCACCAAGTAACGCCGCATCATTACCGGCAGGAAACTCCACGCGTTTTTCGCCAGATTTCCAAACATCTTCCAACGGAAACTCCCATCATTTCCCGGGCCATAACCGCTCGCGATCAGCATTCTCATCTAACCAATTCCTTCCAATTCCCAAGCTAGCACCGCCTGTGGATATCATCTCATCAAATGGTCATAACCAGCGCCGTCGACCGAACCCTAACGCAGTCACCAAACCCTCAGACCACACCCCCATCTCCCGCCACCGGCGCCATCATTCACATCAAGAGAACGGACTCACCCGACCACTCAACGGCCAAGCAGTTCTAGGACCAGAGACGCCCTCGCTCTCATCATCTTACACAAACGCACCAACATCCACACCGAATGGCTTCTATAGACCCCGCACCCACTCCGAAAACACACTCATGGAGCAAGACGCCATCGAAACCCTGATGTTCATGTCCAGCCCCGAGAACACGGGGTATCGTTTCAGCCCCCGCCCGCTACAAGCAGCGAGCACGCAAAGCAGCCTGAACGAGTCGATCAACGCTTCCAGCAATGGAGCTCACCACAATGGAAGCCAGGGCTCCCAAAGTTCCGAGTCGCACAAAGGTCGTGGGCCCGGGAGAAAACCAGGGCTGGAAGCTCATGCCGGCGATGATATAGATCGCCTTTTGGATCAAATGGATAGTGATAGCGAGGATGAGGGTCGGTATGCATCGTATCGTCTTGGGATTAATGGGGCACATCCATTTAGAGGGCATCGGCGCCCGAGGTAATTGCATTTATTCTAAGATTCCAGGATTTTGCATGGGGCACATGGTGGGATCATGACATGTACATCGCTTTAGCATTGTGGGGGTTTTTTTGTAATTGCTGGCTCAGATCATAGGAAGCGTACGGTTGGTATGACTTCAATTCATTTGCTGTGATGAAGATCGGGCCCTGTAATAGTTGATAATATGCATGTCGTTGGCTCTAAGTGATCCTCCACCCTAAAATACTATGATTAAATTACTTTTTGTCGTGATCGTAGTTTGCATACACTGTACATCATTTAATGTGCGAGTTCCTATCATTCCATTAGTTTCGAACAGACTATATCAATGGAGGTCACCACTTACACTTGCGAGCTTGCTCCTAGCTCGAATCTTGGGTCCGTACAAGGCCAGCACCCAGGGGACCAGAGTCAAAGCAGCGCCCTATTTTAATCCAGTCAGTCGATTTGCTTCTTTGGAATGAAAATTGCCACAACTTACAAGTCCTCCCAATAGACTTGATGCCTCTGGATAACCAAGGTTGGTGAACATGGCATTCGTAACCAATGGAAAGATACCACCGAGCAAGTTCCGGCCTAATGAGCAAGATATCAGCAAATATCCCAACGCATATCCAGGTCTTCATTAAGATAATGACCCAAGGGAAAACTTACAACAAGACTGCGCCGCAATCGCCGAACTCGCATACCGATGATAAGTATCAGCGAGGTAATTAAACGTAGCTAGATAAATAGAAAAGATGCCCATAGTAGCACAGCCAACGGCCATAGCAGGCACTATCCAATGAACGGATGGAAAAGAACTCCATCCAAACCAGAACAGGCCAATAGGCAGAAGCACAGACTCAATGCAAACGAAATACAGTCTGCCCTCAGGGGAAGTAGAATGTTTCCCGAAGCGCATGGCGATGCGTTCTTGGTAGATGCTGATGACTGTGATAAGGATGACACCGACGCACATTGAGGTGAAGACGGCACCGGTTTGCTCGATTGTGAAGTTGTGGTTTGTGCGGAAAATGAGTGGCACTGAGCTGAATTGGAGGTAGAGAACTGCCCAGCTGAAGGAGACCCATAGGGAGAAGAAGAAGACTACTGGTTCGGTGAGGAGCATGTCTGGATTGGGGTGTTAGCTTGTTTTCTTTTTCTTTTCATCTTTGGGAATGGTTAATTGGGTTGAAATAGACTTACGGAATGGCCTGTACAGCGAGATCTGGATCATGGTTGCGATCGATGCTCGTTGCTCGTCGCTCTTGACTTTCCATCTGATTCGACGAATGCATTTTTCTTCAGACTCTTCGCTCGACAGAATCACACCGTGATGACCTGCTTCTTCGAGTTGCTCGTAGTACTGGTTCAACTTTGCGGCTTTGCGACTCAGCAGGACGCTGCCGCGCGTTTCTTTGAAGAAGAAGTAGATGACGATGACAAATACGGCAGACACAATTGCGTGCGAGTAGAACACCCAGCGCCATGTGGTGCGGGTAATGATTGCGCCTGAGATCAGCGGTGCCAGGCCAGTACCGAACAATGCAGATCCTGAGAAGAGGGCCATGGGCGTGTTACGGTCTTGGGCGTGATAGATGTCGCTGATTACGCCGCCAACCATGGTGGAGAATGTTGCTGTAAAGGTCAAGTCAATATCTATAGAGGATGAATGGGAACAACGTGGCAGGGTATACATACATCCACCCACACCCTGGAAGAAACGAGCTACAAGCAATCCAGCAAAGGATTGCGTGCCTCCACAGCCAATTAAACTAGCTATTGACATACCAAGTTAGCATATGCCAAGTGAGGATTGTGAAGTGCGGTATACATACCAACGAAGAGAATCCCACTGGCGATAAAGATCGGTCTCCGTCCATTAATCTCAGAAAATGGAGCTAGCACCATCGGCGCCAGAGCAAACCCACAACAGAAAAGCGTGATGCTCAGATTGTACACGACGGTACTGATCCCCCATAGTTTAGTCAGTTCCTCCGATGCAGGGCTGACTTCACCGGCGGCATAACCTGCTAGGGCAGTCACGCCGCAGGCGATATAAGTCATCATCGACTTGCGCCATTTTGGCCAGAGAAATGGAGATGTGTATTTCTCCAGACTAGGCGGTTCCGGTGGTGATGACTGAGCGGGACCGGGAGGTAAAGTAATGTAAGGCGTCGGTAGGGGCGTTTCTAGCTCTAGATATCGGAATTCGATATCTTGAGAGCTGCGTAGAGACTCGGGGGTCTCCTCGCGCTTTTCCATGGCTGATATAAGTGACTCGGGCGTTGTAGATGCCATGTAGTGAGTCAGGATGGCAAGATTTTTCTAGGTTTTGACGGACATTTGGTTGTTTATAGGCTAAGCATCAAGGGCGTGGAGTCGCCCGAAAAAAAATTGGAGAACGGTTCAAAGCCCGAGACATTATTAATCTCCCCAATTAGATCTATATCCTAATTTGGAGTATGTTGGTCTCTAAAGCCCTTAAGTGAATGCTAGTTCTTATGCCCTTAGATGTCTATTAATGGCTTGGGGAGAATCCAAAGTACAAAGTCGGGTGGAACTGATAATGGACATGATACGTGGGGGACCTGCTTGGCGTCGGAGTCATATATCCACAATACCGCCTGCTGAATCTGTCCTAGCTCTATCTCACTTTTTTTGAAGGATTTTCACTTCATATCAATTAATTATAAGCAAAAGACTCGGTTGCTCTTAAAACTAGAGTGAAAACAAGTAAAATAAGAGATTTAAAGTGTAACATTCATAATTCATAAATAATACGGGGTATACTTCTCCGCATAACTGCTGGTGTTTAGTGGAAATTTCCCCAATTTGGGGGGATTTGGGGATCGGGGAGTTTGGATTGATTCGGTAGAGTTGATTAACAATCAATATAGAAACGGATATGTCAAGTGCATGGCTGTGCAGGGAGCAGGATGAATTCCAATTTCGACCTGGTGTACGTGTGTTGTACATGTAGGCAAGGAACCTTAGGCAATATGGCATAGTCAAACCGGAGTTGCGCTACAATCCCCCGAGATATCTCACACACTCCACATGCCCACTCTCAATGTTGACTAGCAAGCCTTATCAATGTCACCGATGCCCGAGGGCATTTGCTCGTCTAGAACATCTTCAAAGACACGATCGCTCACGTATGTCTTTGAGACCTTGAATCGAATACCCCGTACCCCGTCTAATACCCCCACAGATACCAAAGAGAAACCGTTTGTTTGTGTTCAATGTCCCAAGGCCTTTACACGCAAGTATGATACATAATCCAACATTTCAAGTCGATATATCAGATACTTACAGATCTAGGGATCTGTTGGCCCGTCATGAGCGTCTCTCTCACAACCCTGATGCCAGTCCAGCCAGCAATCAGACACAGACGCCCTCCCCCGCAAATCCCCCCACCCAGGACGGGTTAGATTCATTGGCATCTGCAGTCACAAACCACACCCAATCTAATCGCAGCGCATTACAGGGACCCGATGGCCATTTCCCAGCATTATCACCGGCCGTGCATCGCCCGATGCTGGGTGCTCAATTGGCCACAGACACTCCCTCTGTAGGACCCAGTACCCCATCTCCAGTCCCGGATTTTGGATATGCTTTAAGTGGCTTTGGACCAGGATCCTATCATGGTCATGACTTTACCTCATTTTTGGATAGCGTCCCGTTGCCAAATCATCCGTTCTCGCCGGCTTATCAGCCACTCCCACTATTCCCACCGTTGAACTTCTCTACGGCTCTGGACTATGATCGATCTTCTGATAGAGGGACTTTGACTGAAACTACTCCTTCGACTCCTTCGAGTTCTGTACTTCCCCGACATGGCACTCAGTTGCCCTCGCTCCAGCCGGAGGGATATCACATCTCTCCTAAGGCGCGCCAGCCCACGGGATTCGTACCGGTCACGGCTCAATGTCGAGACAAGCTCTTGGATATGCTATCGGACTATGCCAATGTGGTCCCAGATTCATCGCTACCATCTCGACACGCGCTATCCCGATGTTTGACCGGGTATGTAACCGGTTTCCATGATCACTACCCCATTGTGCATATCCCGACCCTCAATGTAGACTCGATGACACTACCGCTCTTCCTATCGATGGCGGCGTTGGGTGCACGGTATTGCCGTGAGCCAGACACTAGCATGCGTCTCTATCAAATTGCCAAACCAGTGACTTTGGAACATGTTCGCCGGGTCTTCCAGTCCGGCAAGCTGCCCACAGTCAACGCGGCCGACGATATCGATACCTTAGAAACCGTGCAAGCTTTGTTGTATCTGACCTCAGTGTCGATGTGGTTTATTAACAATCCCCCATACCACGAGGCGCTGTCGCTCCGCAGTCTAATGGAAATGCTCATCCGACAAGGAGGACTCAACCGGCTACCCGAGCATGACGGGACATGGACTAGCTGGATACGACGGGAAAGGGTAAAGCGCACCAAACTAATTGTTCTCTGTTTCTTTAACATCCACACCATCGTCTTCGATGTCCCACCAGTGATTCTCACAGAAGATTTCACAGTCGAATTACCCTGCACCGAAAAGGAATGGCAAGCCTCGCGCGCAGACCTCTGGCAGGCAGAGCGCATGAACAGTCCCGGCGAACCAAAGTTCCAAGACGCCCTTTCCGCCCTATTCGGGCCAACCGACAATGTAGAGCGATTCTCCTCGCTCGGCGGCTACGTGCTAATCCACGCGATCCTACAAGACATCTGGCTAATGACGAAAGCGGGCCGACTACCCGTGTCACGACGGAACCGCTTCACTTCATCGTCAATGACATCGACACCAGAGCTTGTTCACGTCGAACAAGCCCTAGAACGCTGGTGTCAGTGCTGGGAGCGCAATCAAGAATCCTCGGTCGACCCACTCAGTCCGAACGGACCTCTATCCTTCACATCAGCAGCCCTGCTTCGACTAGCCTACATCCGACTCAACGCAGACTGCGGCTCAGCCCGCCAACTGCAAACATGGGACCCCGTCCAGATCGCAACAAGTCTCCGTGAAAACCTCTCCGTCCAACGCGGCGATCGTCTCACGCGCGCAGCGCTCCACTGCGCACATGCCCTTAGCACACCCGTCAAGCTCGGCATTGGATTTGTTGCCCATTCGCAGGTGGCGCTGTGGTCGAATCAGCATGCTTTGTGCTCCCTGGAGTGCGCGGTGCTGTTGGCTAAATGGCTTGAGGCGATTACAGTGCCAGATCCGGAACCGCGGCTGACGGAGCAGGAGACTCGGTTGCGAGATTTCGTGCTCGAGATGGTTATGGAGGTGCAGCATGGTGTTTCAAGGGAGTGGTTGCTCGCTATTAATACCCGTCTCAGTGCTGCGGTTACCCGGTTGTGGGCGCGGCTGTTTACAGCAGATTATATCTGGGAAATGGTTTCTTTGATTGGGAGGTCTTTGAATAGCTATGCGGACTTGCTAGAGCAATAGAATCTGTTGCTATATATAGAGTTCTCATGGTGTTATTCTGGTTCCAATGTTAGGGCTAGTTTAGGGCAATCGACGGCAATAATAGTCGTTATAGTAGCCCCCTCGGTATTTCCAGCTGCCGGATCAGGCCAGGGCTGCATTTGAATCATATTTCTCATGTCGGTTAGACTCGGCACTTACTCTGTCTTCGTCCTGGCCCCTCTGACCCCAATTTCCCATAGGGCGTACATATGCATATCGTACGGACTTTGCACAAGACTCCCCGATGACTCACTGAATATCAATTTGGTCCTGAATATCGGAGCTGAGGGAACTTTTGACGTGATATCCTCCATCTATTTACATTTCCCCTTTTCCCCAATCATTATGCCTGATGCCTGTTTGCTCAGGCCCTCCTAGCTGACTGAGATCAGACTTCGTTAGTCCATTCATTTATACAGTTCTCCTTCTCTTCCTTCTCCTCTCCCTAGTAACCCAAGACATACTCCCTACCATCAAATAACCAACAAAGCAATCCAAGATGTCCCCATCGCCCCTCACAGCATCCCCAGAAATCCTAACCCTCCTACAAAACCTCCACGCCAAATCCCTAACCCAAGAATCAACCGTGGACTGGAAAAGCCTACCGGAACAATGCAGTGCCGAGTTCGACTCTATCATGCTGGACAAGTTCATCGCCCTTGACCAAGATAAGTGCGAACTTGTTTACCATATCCTGCGCAGCATCAACGCAAAGACAGTCGTCGAGGCCGGTACCAGCTTCGGCGTCAGCACCATCTATCTAGCGCTTGCCGTTGCAGAGAATGCGAAGCGTGTTGGCGCTACCGCTAAGCCGCGAGTCATCGCCACAGAGAAGGAAGAGTCCAAGGCTAGACTGGCCAGGGCGCATTGGGCGAGTGCGGGCAAGAACGTTGAAGATGTGATTGATCTTCGTGTTGGGGATTTGCGTGAGACGCTTACTTCGGATTTGGGGACGGTGGATTTCTTGTTGTTGGATAGTAAGTGGTGTCTTTCTTGGGTACCATGAGATATGGATACATATCTGCTCAGTGTATTCCGTACATGGCTGTTGTTTGATATCCGATTGATGTCTACTCGGGAGAGTATACTAACCAACACTCCTAGTCTGGACGCCTCTCGCCCTCCCTGCGCTGAAGCTCGTCCAGCCGCACTTCCGGCCTGGGGCGGTGATCGTCGCTGATAATACGGTCAAGGCGGCTGATAAGTATCAGGAGCTCTTTGCGTATGTTGATGCCGAGGGCAGTGGATTCCGGCGGGTGACGATGCCGTATGAGGGGGGTTGGATATGATTGTTTATCAGTAGATGTAGTTCCTTGAAGTATTCATAGCAGTATGCTATCGAAGATCAATTCGTGCACCCCATGAGCAATAGTATTTCAACATACTTCGTTCTGTTTGATAGGCCAAACGGGATCCGCCCTGGAATATCAACCCCTCATTTCTATCAAATCTCGAATTGATTCCCAATTTATATCCTTTGAATTGTTTCAATTCCACCATCCTCATACCATCTATAATATCCAGCCATGTCCGAAATCAAAATCCAACCCATCCCACCCCAAGAAGAAGGCCACTTCAACGCTGCCCCAAGCCTAAATCCACCCCCAACACCATCAACAAAAGACTACAAACTAAACCACCTAGCCCTACGTATCCAAGACCCTGGCCGCTCCCTCCACTTCTACATCGACTTACTAGGAATGCGAGTAATCTTCACCATGAACGCCGGGCCCTTCACAATCTATTACCTCGGACACCCGCCAGCAGATGCAAAGACCTCAGAGGATATAAGCACATGGGCAAAGAGCATGAGCGAAATCCCCGTTATGACGAAGACGAGCGGACTTTTGGAATTGTATCATGTGCATGGCACGGAGAATGCGGGTGCAGATGGATCTGTTTCTACGGGGAATACACCACCACATCTTGGATTTGCGCATCTGGGGTTCACAGTTCCTGATGTAGTGGCTGCTGTGCAGAGACTGCGGGATGGTGGGGTTAAGATTCTTAAGGATGTGGGAGTTTGTTCGAGGGATACTGTGCCACTTTCGGAGTGGGAGGAGGAGAGGGGGATTGGACGAGGTGAGATTCATGGGAATTATGCGTGGTTTTTCGAGAAGTTTGCGATGGTTTCTGATCCGGTGAGTTCACTGCTTCTATAACCCTTCTAGGCAAGGGTGGTTATGCTGATGTGACTTGATAGGATGGATATACGGTTGAGTTGATTCCTCAGAGTGTGTGATGCTGTATCTACTGTACACTCTACGATTGTAGCGCTTTAAGACAAGAGGTCGGGAGTGGAACGTCCATCCCGTAAGAATAGCTTAATGCAGCCTATACAACCAACATGTGATGGTACACTAAAGGTAACGAAGTTACGCGCCCCAGCGGTCATCCTCCGCAACGTCGTAGTCCATATCCCGCGCAGGGGCGGTGTTGGCCACCGACGTAGACGACATGACTGTGTCTTCCGGTTCATCATGTCCGATGCCACCCTTGAATTCCGTTGATGACCCAGCCGTGGGAAGTACAATAGGCGGGTTGGCCACCCAGGTGAGCTGGACCTCGCCCACGGAGGGGATATTCCAGGGAGAGAACATGAGTTTCTCAGCCTGGAAGCGCTCTTTGAATGCCACCACGACGGTGTTGGGCTGGTCTGGGTGTGCCTCAATCGATTCGTATTCGCCAACGCCCTAGAACATCCCAAATTAGTATATACTTTGCTGTGCTTAGAAAGATAATAACTTACCATCAGGTGCTGACGCAATGCTTCATCCTTGTCTGAGTTGAGCTCAACGCCCGATACGGCGACCCGTCGAGGCCGGTTATCCAGGCGCAACACACCTCCTCGTCCCCGGGCCGCAAAGCCACCGCGCCCACGATATCCTCCGCGGAAATTGGGATCATAAGCGCCGCGTCCACGGTATGTGCCTCGGCCACGGAAGGCACCACGACCCCGGTATCCACCCCGTCCCGAAGGGTCGGCGGCAGGGTCCAGGCCAAGGCTCTTTGCCTCAGCCTCAAGGGCAGCCAATTGAGCTCGCAGCTGTTTCGTCTCATCGCTGATATTCTCATCGGCGGCAGGCTCAACGGACATGGCGTCCCCAGAACCGGCAGCATCGCTTGTGTCTGCTGTGCCTCCGAGCCGCTGCATGAGACGAGCCCGCTCCTCTTGCTGTTTCTTGAGAAGTTCCTCGCGCTGGCGCTCTAGAGCCTGCTTGGCCGCTTCGGTCTCCTGTCTCTTTTTCATTTTCTCCTCATGCACCCTCTGGGCTTCTTGTTGTTGCTTCTCAAACTCTTCTTGGTTGAAGGCTGGGGCCTCAGGCTGTGCGCTGTCATGCTTTTCCTCGCGATTTGGTTTGTACCAGTAAACCTTCACGAAACGGTTGTCGAAGATGACCTTGGGGCTGGACCACGCGGCCTTGGCTTCGGGGAAAGTTTCGTATTTGACCAAAGCAATCTTTTTGTAAGGTTGCAAAGTGACCTCGGTAATGCTGCCGAACTCAGAGAAGAACTCGCGCACAGAATCCTCGTTGAACTTGTCGTCGGGGATCTGCTCAACAACAATCGTCGTAACAGACTGGTCCTCATTAGGTCCTGCCGATGAGAAATCGGACCGGCCGCGTCCTCGTCCGCTGAATCCACCTCGGCCGCGGCCGCGGCCTCGGTCACCGCGCATGGGAGCACCACCCCGCTGCGCATGCATACCCGCAGTCTTGGGGTCATATTCTGCGATTGTTAGCAATGGTATACCGAGGCTGAATAAAATTCGCTTACCATCGTCTTTCGAGACAGCCCCCTCGCCGTGCTGATAAGGGCAAGTGTTTCCTAAGTAACAGATACCTTGAGTATCATAGAACGGACATCGCTGGTTGCTTTGTGGGATCTGATCGACTCCTGGCTGACCGGGACCAGGCATCCCAGGCATAGGCATTCCCGGCATCTGCGGGAATCCCATACCTTGCATACCCTGCATAGCCATCATTGCTGCCATAGGATCGTTTGGGTCGAATGGCGGGAAACCGGGCATCATAGGAAAGCCACCAGGCTGCTGCGGAGGGAACTGTTGGCCCTGTTGATGTGGAGGGAATTGCTGGCCTTGTTGCTGCAGAGGGAACGGTTGACCCTGTTGCTGTGGGGGGTATTGTTGACCTGGTTGCATCTGATGTCCACCCATAAAGTCGCCGCGAGCGCCTCCACGAGCGCCACGCCGTGCAGTCTTCATGGCGCGATTCTGGAACCCACCATCGTCATGCTCTGGCTCCCCTTGGAATCCCTCATTAAAAGTTCGTTTGCGATTGGCACTACCGGGAGTAACGGCAGCCCTCGGGCCGCTGGGGGCGTTCTCAGGAGGCTGTGAGGAAGGAATATGGGCAGCAGGTTGGGCCTGGCGCTGAGGCTGGGGTGCAGGTGCGGGTGTAGGAGGCGCGGGTTGTTTGGGACCGAAGGTTGTAAAGAGCTCGGTGACGAATGGTTGCGTGTCTAGGAAATGTTAGTAATATGAAACAATTCAATGCGATTGAGACATTAGACGCACGTTCGCGCAGGAAATCCTCTAGGTTTTCCACCGAGACCTTTTTGATTTCCTCGGCTGGCGCATCGGACCTAACTAGCGCCAAAACATAGTCTGCAAGCACATCGGAGTCGGCATCAGAGCTATAGGCAGAATAAATATGATTAGTCGCTGCTGTCTTTCTCCAAGGCCGATGACCCGAGTCGAGTGCTTGATCAACTCACATATCCTCCAATTTTTTGACCACCCATTTCTTTACATCAGCGGCTTCCGCATCGGTGAACTGCATGGCGAAGATGATTTTCGAGCAGTTTCAAACTGTGAGGGTCGAATTGCGTCGAACAAACAATTGACGTGAAAGTGGCGGTGATTGCAGGGATTCGGTTTCAACAAAGCCGTCACCCGGGAAGATTCCTGCGTGTGCAGTGATAATCGTGTATAGGATAAAATCACAGCTTTGTGTTTT